CTAGGTTTGGGATGATTATAGTTCTACGTTCTGACATCTGGTTTGATCTTTGTTGGGTGGGTATTTTGTTCCTAGGTTTTCTGTTCACTCTATGGTTTTTAGAATAGTGTGTTACCCCGTAGGAAATTTACTGTGGACCTGACAGGTGTGGCCACTGGATCCAGTTAAATGGATCTGAGAAGCAACCTGGTGAAGTCATTTTAATACAAGACAAAATAGCCTTCAAACTAAAACTAATCAGAAGAGATAGTCAGGACACTACATATTCATCAAAGGAAAAATCCACCGAAAGGATATTACAATTCATAACATCCCAAAACACAAGGACACCCAAGTTTGTAAAAGAAACACTACTACAGCTTAAATCACACATTGATCAACGCACACTCATTGTGGGAGACTTTAATACCTCACTTTCACTAATGGGTATGTTATCAAAAACAAAAACAGAGCTGAATCTATCCAGCATTATAAACTAAATGTACCTAAAAGAAGTTTAAAACATATTTCACCCAAACATGAAGAAAAATACCTTCTTTTTTGTACCACATGAAACTTTCTCCAAACTTGACCAAATACTCAGACATAAAGCAAGTTAACTCAGATACAAGAAAATTGAAATAACACCCTGCATTCTATCTGACCACCAAGGATTAAAGCTGGATATCAACAACAACAACAACAAAAACTAAACAGAAAGAAACATAAAGCAATTCCACTGAAATTGGGGACCAGACAGGGCTGCCCACTCTCTTCAATGTAGTACTTGAAGTTCTAGCTAGACAGCTAAAGGAGATCAAGAGAATACAAATTGGAAAGAAAAAAGTCAAAGTATAACTATTTGCAGATGATGTGATAGTATATGTAAGTGACCCCAAAAATTCTGCCAGAGAACTCCTACAGGTGATAAACACCTTTAGCCAAGTGGCTGATTACAAAATTAACTCAAAAAAAATATATATGTATATGTATATGTACATATTTCAGTAGCCCTCCTTTATACAAAAGACAAAGGGGTTGAGAAAGAAATTAGGGAAACAACACCCTTCACAATAGTCACAAATAATATAAAGTATTTTGGTGTAACTCAAACCAAGCAATTAAAATACCTGTATGACAAGAATTTCAATTCTCTGAAGAAAGAAATTGAAGACGATATCAGAAGATGGAAAGATCTCCTATGTTCATGGATTGGTAGGATTAACAGTAAAAATGGCCATGTTAGCAAAAACAGTCTACAGATTCAATGCAATTCCCATCAAAATACCAACACAATTATTTACAGACCTTGAAAGAGCAATTATCAACTTCATTTGAAACAAACAAACAAAAAAACCCAGAATAGCTAAAACAATACTGTTCAAGAAAATAACTTCTGGGGGAATCTTTGTCGCTGATCTCAAGCTGTACTACAGAGCAATAGTAATAAAAACTGTATTGTACTGACATAGAAATAGACTATTTGATCAATGGAATCAAATTGAAGACCCAGAAAGAAAGCCACACACCTAAGGACACTTGATTTTTGGCAAAGGAAAAAAAAAAAACATAAAATGGAAAACAGGTAGCATCTTCAACAAATGGTGCTGATCTGTCATGTAGAAGAATGCAAATAGATCCATATTTATTGCCCTGCACAAAACTGGAGTCCAAGTAGATCAAAGACCTCAACATAAATCCAGACACACTAAATCTTTTAGAAGAGAAAGTGGGGGGTCAGTCTTGAACTCATTGTCACAAGAGGCAACTTCCTGAACAACATATCAGCAGCTCAGGCTCTAAGGTCTATAATTAATAAATGGGACCTAACAAAACTGAAAAGCTTCTGTAAGTAAAGGACACTGTTAATAAAACAAAACAGTAACCTACAGATTGAGAAAAGATCTTCACCAACCCTACAACTGACAAAGAGCTAATATCCAAAGTATATATAACGATCTCAAGAAACTAAATACCAGCAAACCAAATAATCAAATTAAAATGGAGTACAGAGCTAAGCTGAGAAATTTCAATAGAGGAATGTTTGATTGTTGAGAAACACTTAAAGAAATGCTCAGTGTCCTTATTCATCAGGGAAATGCAAATCAAAACAACCCTGAGATTTCACCTTACACTCATCAGAATGGCTAAGATCAAAAACTCAAGTGACAACACATGCTGGAAAAGATGTAGAGAAAGGGGGCATTTCTCCATTGCTGTGGGAGTGCAAACTTGTACAGCTACTTTGGAAATCAATCTGGTACTTCCTCAGAAAATTGGAGATAGTTCTACCTCAAGACCCAGCTATTTCACTTTTGAGCATGTACTCATACTACAAGGATGCTTGCTCAACTGTGTTCACAGCAGTTTTATTCATAATGGCCAGAAACTGGAAACAACGTAGAAGCTCCTCAACAGAAGAATGGATAAAGAAAAGGTACATTTACACAATGGAATACTACTCAGCTATTAAAAACAAGGAAATCATGAAATTTGAGGGCAAATGGATGGAACTAGAAAATATCCTGAGTGAGGTAACACAGACCCAGAAAGACACACATGATATGTACTCACTTAGAAGTGGATATTAGTCAAATATTACAGGATAATACAATTCACTTACCAAAAGAAGGTAAGTAGCAAGAAGGGCCTAAGTGACACCCTTCTTGCGTAGGAGAGTGTGGAGAGGGAAACGAGGTAGGGGTGAATCAGATATGGGAAGAATGCGGAGGTGAGTTGAGAGGGCTTGAGGAAAAAAGGGAAACTGAGGGAAGGGACATCTCGGAGACAACCTGAAGACCTGTGACAAGGTACCAGGGAAGATTTGGGAATGACTCTAGCTGAGCCTCCTAGCAGCAGGGGACATGGAGATTGAGGAGGCCACCTTCTAGCAAGGCAGGACTTAAAGGGGTGGGAGGGAAACACCAACTCACCTACAAAATTTTCCATCTAAAATTAGCCTGCCTAAAAGATATGCAGATATAAAGATAGAGCAGAGACTGAGGGAATGTCCAACTGATCCTGGCCCAACCTAAGACCCACCCCCTAGGAAAGAGCCACCCCATGACACCATTAATGATACTCTGCTATGCTCACAGACAGATAGCTAGCATAACAGTCTTCTGAGAGGCTCTACCAAACAGGAGATGGAAGCAGATGGAGCTCAGGGAGTCTTGTGGAAAAGTGGGTTGTGGGGAGGAGAGAAGGACCCAGAGGGGAGAGGAACTCCACAAGGACACCAACCCCATCAACTAACCTAGGCCCATGGGGGCTTACAGAGGTGGAAACACCAACTAAAGAGCATGCATGGACTGGACCTAGGCACCCTACACATATTTAACTGGTGGGCAGCTTGATCTTCATATGGGTCGCCTATTAATTGGAGTGGGTGCTGTCTCCGGCATGGACTCTGTTGCTTTCTTTTAAATCACTTTACCCTAGTGGAGATGCCTGACATGTCTTCAGTGGGAGAGGATGAGCTCAGTCTTGATGGGACTTGAGGGGCTGGGGGGAGGCTCCCATTTTCTGAGGAGAAGGGGAGGGGGTAATAGATGGAAGAGGGTTGGAGGGTCAATAGGGAGGAGGAGGAGAGGCAGGAGGCAGTTATGATCTGGCTCTAAAGTAAATAAATAAATAAACATTTTAAAACAAAACAACAGAAAACTTACAAACTCATGGAAACTGAACAACTCTCTACTTAATGAAACATTTACAGTGGCTTTATTCATAATAGCCCAAAACTAGAAACAACCCTGATGTTCCTCAACCAAAGAATAGATAAACTGTGGTACACCTACACAATAGAATACTATTCAACTATTAAAAACAAGGATATCATAAAATTTGCAGGAAAATGGATGGATCTGGAAAAGATCATCCTGAGTGAGGTAACCCAGACCCAAAAGACACACAGGGTGCATACTCACTTGTAAACCGGTATTAGCCATATAATACAGGATAACCACACTAAAATCTACAGACCTAAAGAAGCTAAACAACAAGGAGGCCCCTAGGAAGGATGCTTAATTATCATTCAGAAGGAAAAATAGAAAAGACACCGGCAACATTTGAAGAGAGAGACCAGGACAGAAGCCTACCATAGATATCCTCTGAAAGACACCATGCTGCAAGGAATGGAAGCAGATGAAGAGATTCATAGCCAAACTTTGGGCAGAGTGAAGGGATTCTCTAGGAAGAACATGGGAAAAGAAGGACCTAGAGGGGACAGGAGTCCCACAAGAAGACCAACAAAGCCAACAAATCTGGGCCCAGGGTGCCCTTTAGAGACCGATGCACCAACCAAGGACCATGCATGGAGAAGACCTAGACCCCCCCCCCCCGCTCAGATGTGGCCAACAGGCAGCCCAGTCTCCATGTTTGTTCCTTAGTAAGGGGAGCAGAGGCTGTCTTTGACATGGACTGTGTTGCCTACTCCTAGACTACTTTCCCTGGGCCCAGACCACAGAGGAAGTGGATACAGCCAGTCCTAATGAGTTTACAGAAAAGCTGGCTGAGGCCAGATCTCACAGAGGTAGACTTGTTTAGCAGTTAAAAACATAGGCCTTGGGATTACAGAGTCTGGGGCCAAATTCTCTTTGTTTTGTTTTGTTTTCAAGAGAGTGCTTATTTCTCCTTAATCTGATTCCTTCCTTGTTCTCAGCCTCAATTTCCTTAAGTGTTATTATTGTTATTCTGAAGACAGAAATTAAAACCACTATCACAACCTTCTTAACCTAGTGGATGTCTAAGCTACATCAAAGCAGCCCACACATTTCATTCATTGGATGTACCATAACATATCTACCAGATGTTTACAGAAGAGTCAAAGCTGCATGGTTACCAGGGTTGGAGCCCAAGTGAATTTCTCCTATTTGTGAGTAGTTCTAAACAGTTTTCCAAATAGGATCTATGTACATTTCCTGCTTCCATTTTACTAGTTCCTTGTTTGAAAACTCACTTCACTAATGTAGTTACTTAAGCATTTCCTCATGAGAGATGTATGCATTCACCATTTGCCTTACCTTATGGATCTCTCCCTGTTGAACAGTTTTTATGATGTTAATCCATTCTTCCATGTCTTTCCGATTGGGTGCAGCAAGAGAGACTTTCCGCTGTGGTGTGATAACCTAAACATAACATCATAGTATTAAGTTTATTTTCACAAACAAAGCCCCCTGACCCAAGTCTGCAAATTCTTGAATATAAGACATAAGCTTCTAGGGTCACCCTCAACTACTTTACTAACCATTCAAGACAGTAATAATTACAATAGCAATAATTAAGATTTTAATGCCACTTCATTTGTGCAAAGAACTATTTCAATGCAGTTTTAGGCATACTATTTCAATCAGTCTTCATTATAGTTCCATGAGGTGGGAATTGTAATTGTCCCTCTTTCAAAGCCAGGACAAGATAGAACACTTAAAAGGCTTGTCCAGAGTCATCCAGCAGTTAAAAAAGGAAGACATATTCTTTGGCTCTTGAATCGTTGCTCTTAGATATTAAGCTACATGTCATCTATTTCTAAAATGAGCTTGCTTAAACTATTTACTTGCTCACTGCTGTTTTATGTGAAGTGGAGAAAGTGCATTTTCTTCAACAGGGTGCCTCACTGGCTCTTTGTGGGCAAAATAAGATTTAGAAAATTCAGTTTCTTTCTTTACCATGGATATGGATACGTGGAAGAGAATTTTATAGTAGTATCTCTTAATCCTTTGTGATAAGGCAAAGACCAATCCAAGAATAGTATCAAAGCCACTCTGAAGCTCTTATTTATTTATTTATTTATTTATTTATTTATTTATTTATTTATTTATTTATTTATTTACTATTGGGTGTATGTGTGATGTTTGTATACACATGTATGCATGTGAGTGTAGGTGTGTGTGTGGCAAAGACCATGTGTGAAGAACAATTTTTAGGGATTGGTTCTCTCCTTCTTCTATGGGATCCAGAGATTGAGTTCAGGTTGTTGAGCTCGCATGACAAATACTTTTGCCTGATAAGCCATCTCACTGGCTCAGTACTGAAGGTCTTAATGATTTAGAGCATGAGCAGAGGTTTGACTTTTTCCAGGTAATAAGAAAGAACATGACTGACTATGCCGTCAGTCATTGCTTCAATAGCCCTGCTTGTTTTTATGATGAAGGCCTCAAAATGAAGCTGGTGCTAACCACACCAATAGGCAATTTTTATCTCCTTTTGCATGTAGCACTTGATTTTGTCGTAGTTAGGCATAGGAGCTGGTTAAGGTCATTATGGCAGTGACTCCTTTGTTTCACATCCATTCTTTGCTGATGTGATGTGTAGTGGCCAAGGGCCTTCATTAGGATAAGGGATAGCCTAGCCTAAAAAGGATACTTGATATAACCCTGATGAGACTGGGAAAAAATTGGGGAGAAGGCAGAAAGAAGGCTTGAGGGCTAGTAGACTTGATATTTTTCAGCGAATATTCTAGTTTTGACTTACATGAGTGACCAAAGCTGAGCAATATTCCAGGCACACTTAAGTCCTGAACACTTCCTCTGCTTTCTTATAAGTGTTCTCATCTTTAACCTCACTATGGGCTAGATTTCACTGAGGGTTATTTACATCCCCAACTAAATGATGTCATGGACCTTGGTTGTTTTCATTTTCCATAAGACTTCTCTATGTCTTGAAACCCTCCCCAACAACATTTCTACATTACCTTTACCAAGAAGACTGACTGAATGCTGTAATAGTCAAAGGCCCCTTGTACCTTGAAGTCAGCTTAGCTTTCTAGCAGCCTCTTAATATGGAACATGATTAGTACTTGCTGTCCTCTCCATCACTTGGCTAGTGGAAATTTGTATGAATAATAACACTTGGCAATCAAAGAAGACTTAATAAACCTGATGACTACCCCCCCGCACATGGAACATTCAGTTATTCCAATATTACTTACACAAAAACCGTGGCAAAGATTTCGACAGCTACTTTCTGCCAACGCGACTTGAGACAGATCAATTGTTTCAAAGTGTGCAAACTGGAAAGATATAGAAGGAGAATGATAAGAAGCTGTGCCATTAATCAGGCAAAAATGCATTGAAATGTACACACACACACACACACAGACAAACATTTTTGGCAGTATAATCCAACTATTTATTTGTCTTAAGGGCTAGGATTTATATGGTAGCATGATTTTTTTTTTTTTTAGATTTAGCATGTGGCAAGTCTAAAACAAACTAAATAAAAATACAACTTTCCTAAACTTTTCTGTGGACTTGTACTAAGGATTGGGCTGGTCATGTCAGACACATCCAAATACAAATATGGTGCTAGGTCAGATAACAAAATATGGTCTACCTGAAGAAACTTGTTTAAATTAGTAGTAAATATTAATTTATTGAGTGGCAGCCTTTGGCTATCTTGATTGTCACGTACAGTTTGGAGCCTGCATCTCCTGGTATAATTGATGTGGTAGATACTACCCAGCTATCAGCTGGAAATCAGTACTATCAATATAGACAAGGCTGTTTGATCACTATGTAACCTGTGCTGTCATGTAAGACTCCATGTTCAGGCTAACCCAGGACTTGGTCTAATGCTTTATTGTCATATTTAAATTCCTCATCATTTCACCTCTGGGCTTATGTTTTGTAAATAAAGCCCAATAAGACCGTAGGCTGTGCATATGAATACAGGAGACATGTGTCATTTGCATGTCCACCCCATGTTTTGCCATTTTAATTGCATTTGTTATATGCATGAGCTTAGAGTTCCAGTGAATCCCTTCATAGTAGAATAAAATGTTTTATGTCTATAACTGAGCAGGCAAGGATACCTGCACATTCTATTAGAACCAGAACTTGCTGCAAACAAGAAGAAAACACAGTGTTTTTATTTTTATTTTTATTTTTAGGAAATGGGCAACCAGGGAGCCTTATTCTATTCATTCTTATTCATGGCATGTCCTTGTGTTATGTAACCTCTTATGCTGGAAAGGATGACACTGAAGGAAAAGGAAAGCTAGGGCAAGCAACTGTCCCTTTTCCATTTACTCAGAATGTGTAGGCAGAATGTGAAAATATTAAAAAAAAATTGTAAAGAGCTAGTTTTGTATACTGCTGCAAACAAAATACACATGCTTCTATAAGCTAGTAACAAATTATATAATGATGGTTGTTTTTTTATAAGTTAAATGTGCTTATATTTCTATTTAAGACTGGAATGGGTACAAAATTAAATGGTAAAATTCATGCTAATTATTTATTTATATTCTTTTTAGAATAATATTAAATATCAAATTAAAACACTATAAACCAAAACTTCATATTATAGTATAAATATGGAACATTTTATGTTATTACCACTAATGAGTGACATTTTTCCTGGTTTTTGAATAAAGGGTTCTGTCTTTTCATTTTGCACTGGGCCCGACAAACTTTGTAGGCAACTCTGGATACAGAAACTAACCAGGACATCCATGAAAAGGAGGGGCATAGGAAAGGGGAAAGGAAAATACTGCCACCCATTTACCCAAGGGGATTAGTTAAAGGAAGAATAGATGGTTTCAACTTCTGCTCTAATGGTGGCCTCCTCCACACCCACACATTTCTTGGCACTCACCCACTAATGCAGATGAAAGGATTCTATAATTACCGAAGGATGGTGTGCAAAGTGGAGCTTCTGTCCTTGAATCAGACAATATCTAAGCTTCCATCTCTTGAAAGAGTTACAGTTCTTTAGCAGGGGGCCTTCCTTTAGTATTTTCTGAAAAACAGAAGCATAGCAATAGGTTGGTTAGATGAACTTGTTAGATCATTTATTTCCTCTCTTGGATGAGAAAATGACTTATCTGGAAAATCTATCTCTGCTTCATGGCTGGTGAATAATAGTCTGTAGACCAGGCAAGAACACAAAGAGATTTGTTCCACCAGAAAAGGCATTGGTTTCCTTTCTGTAAAACACTCAGAATGTTATATCCTTCAAGTTTCTTAGGATCTATTGCTCAAAAGCTATGGAAAACATTTCCATTTGTGGTAAGGGAAGAGAGAAAAGCATGTATGTATAAATAGAAAAATGACAATCCCGAGAAAGTACAAGTAGCAATGGGAAGGGCTAAGCTCGATAAAGGCAGAGTTTCCTAAACTATTAAGGTTATAGCCTTAGATAGAACATCCCAATCAGCTCTCTTCAGGGATTCTACTTAGAATATTAACTTGGATTATGTCTGTTCAATGCTCACACGCCTCCAATAGCTTGCTAATATTTTTAGAACCACATATAAATCCTTTATCAAGGCCTTCAGGGGATTCGTGAACTGGTGCGTGAGCAAGCATAAAAAGGACTCCTAAAGACAATGACCTTCTGATTATTTTCTTTATTTAGCACACAGTCTGACCAATGATTTCCAGTTATTGCACAACAGACTGATCTTACCGTTTACAAAGGCTACTTATCATTTTTCACCACTGAAGATATTCTTTGTTATGTTATAGAAAACAAGCAAACATTAAGATTACCATAAGTACCCCACTAATCTGGAACCAAGGCTATACTTATTGGACAAAGGGCCAGACAATTAAATTAACCAAATCAAGGTTTTTTTCTTTCTTTCTTTTTTTTTTTACTGTGACTTCTCCTTCATCTAAATTAGAATTTTCTATTAAATGGCTAAAGAAGTGCTTTGTTTACTCTAGTGTATCTTAAAAGTTTTAATTTATTGATAATGTTTACAAGGCTTATGTTTTAGGAAAAATGCAGTTAACTGTTTTTATCTATCTATCTTTTTAAAACAAAGTATCTAGCAAAAATTGGCTTGTGTTCTCACATGGCAAACACTTAGCTGGAGCCATGTAGCAGCTGCCACCTTCAGATGGAGTCTCTGACTACATCAAACAATTGAATTTGAGACTCTTAAGTATTGGGAGGGATTATTGCTCAGTGGTAAAGTTCTTGTATCCCATGCACAGGTCCCCATGTTTAATCCCCAGTATCATAATTAATTAATTAATAGGGATAACAAAGCTAAAAATGGGGGAAAATGAAAAAAAAAACTAAGCATGATGACATATATGAGTAGAAATATCATAATGAAACCCATTAATTTTTGTATGTGAATTTAAAATATTAATAAAAATCAATTATCCTAGTAGCTGGAAACAGGCCACTGGGAGCAGATGTATTAATGGAGAGGGATAGTAAACTATAAGTAAAATGAAAGTAAAGAGAGAGAATACAGGGAAAGAAGAAAGTTCAAGCACCAAGTGGGTAGTGGATAGAAAAATTATGTGGTTATAGAACCCTAAGCTAAAATGAAGCATATATAGAAAAGCTATGTGGAAATCTGTGATCTTCCAACTCAACAAGTTTTAGAGGGGTTAGTAGAGCACAGGCAACATGAAGGGAGAGAGGAGATTTCTTTCTTTCTTTTTCTCTTCTTTCTTTCTTTCTTTCTTGCTTGCTTGCTTGCTTTTTTTAATTCTTTCGTGTTTTTTTTTTTTAATGTTTGGTTGGTTTTTGTTTTTTCAAGACAGGGTTTCTCTGTGTAGTCTTGGCTGTTCTGGACTTGCTTTACTGTAGACCAGGCTGGCTTCGAACTCACAGAGATCCACCTGCCTCTGCCAGAATAAAAGCATGCCTCTGTTGGGATTAAATGAATGTGCCACCATGCCCAGCTGAGGTGAGATTTCTTGAGGTTAATGGTTTGAGTGGACTTGGTGATAAGAGATGGTAAAGGGTGGGTTATTCAAACTAAGGAATTTGAAGAAGCTTTAAAGAAATTCATTAGTTTATAAGTTAATTAAAAACATAATATACAAAAGGAAGTTAAACAGAAGTAACCTGCATGGGTGAACAATGATGCTACCAGAAGACTTGTGCTATTAAATGAAAACCTCAGTACTGGATACTGTCCTACAAGTTATTGGTCAGGGAGGCTCCAGAGGCACCCCTAAACAGAGTAAGTTATTGCCATTGTTCTTGGTTGCTCACCATAAATAGATGTCAAGACCTTATTGCTGAAGACAATGTTCACTTTGGTTGTAGATATAGAGAAATCAACCTTACATGACCAAGAAACACACTCTCTCTCACTGCTGTCAAGCTAACACGGTGTTAGACTGAATTGTAAAGGCTGATGGGGAGAAAAACTAGGTGGAGCATGGGGAGCCCTTGTGGGAAAGTGGGGGGGGGATAGCAGAACCCAAAGAGAAGAAGAACACCACAAGAAGACCAACAAAGTCAACTAACCAGAGCCCAGAGCCCCTGAGGAGACTGAAGCACCACAAGGACCATGCATGGACTGGACCTAGGCCCCCTACACATATGTAGTCAATGGAAAGCTTAGTCTTTATGTGGCTTCCATAGTAAGGGGAGCAGGGGCTGTCTCTGACATGGACCTTGTTGCCTGCTTTTCGAACAGTTCCATCTGGCAGGGCTGCCTGATCTGACCTCAGTGGAAAGGATTGTGCACAGTCCTGATGTGACTTGATGGGCTGGGTGGGTTATTGTTGTTGTTGCTGCTGCTGGTGGTGGTGATGGTGGTGGTGGTGGTGGTGGTGTGTGTGTGTGTGTGTCTTCTCTTTTCTGAGGAGTAGGGGAGAGGGGATTTGGAGAGGGGGTGCTGGAACCAGGAGGAGAGGAGTGAGGCCTCTACAATCGGTATGTAAAGTGAATAAATTTTTTAAAAATGACATCAATTTTCTAATCTATCGCTAGATTATATCCGCAAGCTATTATACTGACCTTCATGGCAAGATGTGTCCACTGGTGCCATAATGGCACTAAGGTGAGCTACTTTCTGATTAGACTTAAGGCTAATTCCACTGGGCAGGGGATTCACACTTGGTACTGTAAATCTATTGGACATTTTCTCTTTCCCTATTTTCAGTTTAAAGACCTGTAATTCAGACTACAAGGTACTGAAATATCTACTTTCTCTTTTGAGAGGAACCTTGCCCTTAAAAAAAGTGGGCCATTAAATTAAGATCTTTCACATTGTAACTTGGGCATATAATATCCCAAGAGGATTCATATTTTAGCTTAGGGATTTGCCAGCTATTTATGATATTACTATAAGCAAGAAGAAGAAGAAATAATTCTCTTTCTCAAATTACTATTTTATCTATCTCTAGACTACCGCCTTTCCCCAGCAAACCATCCTGTGTACAATGGTTATTTCAGAGTCTATGTTAGAACTGGGAACAGCATAAGGTACTCTTAACTGTTTAACTATCTTTTAACCCACTTTTAATAACCCGACATCCAAACTCAAGTAGAAAGGCCCAAGCCAAACAAGTCTATATAAGAATATACTTTTGTGTGTTACTATAAGTAATTATAATTCAGATATTAATTTATCAGATGGAGTCAGAATCCATCTGATAAGTCAAGATGAGGAGTAGTCCTGCTAGGCCACAGAGGAGGACTCTGGAGATACCTGATAAAACAGGGTCAGATGAAAGGAAAGGAGGTCCTCCCCAATCAGTGGACTTGGAAAGGGGCAGGGAGGAGATGAGGGAGGAAGGGTGGTACTGGGAGGGAATAAGGGAGCAGGATACACCTGGGATACAGAGTTAATAAAATGTAACTAATAATAAATAATAAAATTAAATTAAAAAATAAAAATAAAATATGCAAAAATGTATATTGTAATCCTATAGCCAACACCAAGAAATTAACTTTATAATTTATATATACATATATACATAAGGACTAGAATTGCTAAAATCCAAAATAAGAAAAACTTCAAATTGTTCTAATGGTGTACAGTAATAACTCTTATTCATTTTTGTTAGGAATGCAAACTTCTATAGGTAACTTGGAAGACAGTTTGTCAGCTTCCTGCAAAATCAATGTAAGATCCAGAAACTGTAATCCTTGGCATATATCTAATACACTGAAAACTTAAATCATGGCAAAATTTTACATACAAATGTTTATAGAGGCTTTATTCATAATTGCAAGTCCTGGTTTATTATATTAAATTTTGCAATTTTTCAATGTAACCAGCTAGTGGGAAAAAAAAAAAAAAACTTTTGAAGGAAAAAAAAAAAAAAAAAAAAAAAAAAAAAAAAAAAAAAAAAAAAAAAACAAAAAAAAAAAAAAAAAAAAAAAAAAAAAAAAAAAAAAAAAAAAAAAACCAGTTAGTAAGCTATGGCTTGCTGTCAGGTAAAGAGTTTGCAATTTCTGAATTACAGCTGCTATCACTTCAGGAGCATATAGATTTTAGAGTTCATGTATAGGAAGTCTATTTATGTAAGACACACATTATCAAGTTGGAGGAAGATAACATTAACATAATATATGTAGAGTACATAATTTCTGTACAGTTGGGATAATGACTCAAAAGGGTTTCTTACTGTCTAAATACAGGCTCTATATTCTATATGAATACCCAAACCTAGATTGCTAAGAACTAAAAATGGCTCTCTAAAGTATGCTCCCTTTTAGAGAAATATAAGCCAATCGCTGTTTTAAAATAAAGTGTTGTTTATGTTTTTAATTATTTTTTTAAATCAGCTTTGGGATGACACTTTGAACAGGTAGAAACAAATTCCAGGGATTTTTACAAGTCACTGAGATACATGCCTTGAAAACAACCTTGATGCTTGGAGTTACTAAACTGAACAAAGGTCTGTGAGGAAAACAAGAAAAGCAAACAAAGAAACAAGCAAATCCTTCAGATAGGTGTAGTAAGGAGTGAGTTCCGCCTGTCTCCCTGGATAACTTCTGAGTGCAGCTCAGTCATTGGCCTTTGCAGACCACCG